TGTTGGCATACTGTGGGGCCATGCGGGTACCCATAGCAGTGCCGCTGACTTGAAGGTATATATTGTCCCCAAATGTGAAATAGTTGTGGGTGAGGACAAAGTCACAGAGTTCAGCCACCGGGTTAGCTGTGACATTATCGGGGATACTGTTCCTGATAGCTTGTAGTCCATCTTTGTGTGGAATGTTGGTGTAGAGGGCTTCTACATCCATAGTGGCCAGGATGGTGTTTTCTGGAAGATCACCGATGGATTGTAGTTTCCTCAGGAAGTCAGTGGTGTCTCGAAGATAGCTAGGAGTGCTAGTAGCGTAGGTTCTGAGGAGAGAGTCTACATAACCAGACAAGCCTGATGTTAGGGTGCCAATGCCTGAGATGATGGGGCATCCAGGATTTCCAGGTTTATGGATCTTGGGTAGCAAATAGAATGTCCCTGGTCGGGGTTCTAGGCATGTGTCTGTACAGATTTGTTCCTGTGCTTTGTCAGGGAGTTTTTTTTAGCAGATGGTGTAGTTTCTTTAGGTAATCCTCAGTGGGATCAGAGGATAGTGGCCTGTAGAATGTGGTGTTAGAGAGCTGTCTAGCAGCCTCTTGGTCATATTCCAATTTATTCATGATGACGACAGCACCTCCTTTGTCAGCCTTTTTGATAATGATGTCAGGGTTGTTTCTGAGGCTGTAGATAGCGTTGTGTTCAGCATGGCTGAGGTTATGAGGCAAGTGTTGTTGCTTTTCCACAATTTCAGCCTTTGCACGTTGACGGAAGCAATCTATGTAGAAATCCAGTCTGTTGTTTCGACCATCCGGGGGAGTCCACGCAGAATCCTTTTTTTTGTAGTGCTGGTAGGGGGGATTCTGTGGGTTAGTATGCTGTTCAGAGGTATGTTGGAAATATTCTTTGAGTTCATATTCAGTTAAGGTGAGCTGTTGTCAGCAGGAGAGAAAAAGAACTGTTTGTAGTGATAATGAAAATGGCCCATTTCCAGTACTTGACAAGGAGATATAAGGAACTGTGGGGGAGGGAGGGTAGGAGATAAGCATGGGGAAATAGTTTTACTTTGTGTAATGGCCCATCCACTCCCAGTCTTTGTTCAAACCTAATTTAATGGTGTCCAATTTGCAAATTAATTCCAATTCAGCAGTCTCTCGTTGGAGTCTGTTTTTGAAGTTTTTTTGTTGTAATATTGCGACTTTTAGGTCTGTAATCGAGTGGCCAGGGAGGTTGAAGTGTTCTCCAACTGGTTTTTGAATGTTATAATTCTTGACGTCTGATTTGTGTCCATTTATTCTTTTATGTAGAGACTGTCCGGTTTGGCCAAGGTACATGGCAGAGGGGCATTGCTGGCACATGATGACATATCACATTGGTAGATGTGCAGGTGAACGAGTCTCTGATAGTGTGGCTGATATGATTAGGTCCTATGATGATGTCACTTGAATAGATATGTGGACAGAGTTGGCAAGGGGCTTTGTTGCAAGGATAGGTTCCTGGGTTGGTGTTTTTGTTGTGTGGTTGCTGGTGAGTATTTGCTTCAGGTTTGGGGGCTGTCTGTAAACAAGGACTGGCCTGTCTCCCAAGGTCTGTGAGAGTGATGGATCGTCCTTCAGGATAGGTTGTAGATCCTTGATGATGCGCTGGAGATGTTTTAGTTGGGGGCTGAAGGTGACGGCTAGTGGAGTTTCCTTGTTGGGCCTGTCCTGTAGTAGGTGACTTCTGGGTACTCTTCTGGCTCTGTCAATCTGTTTCTTCACTTCAGCAGGTGGATATTGTAGTTGTAAGAACGCTTGATAGAGATCTTGTAGGTGTTTGTCTCTGTCTGAGGGGTTGGAGCAAATGCGATTGTATCATAGAGCTTGGCTGTAGACAATGGATTGAGTGGTGTGGTCTGGATGAAAGCTGGAGGCCTGTAGGTAAGTATAGCAGTCAGTAGGTTTCCAGTATAGGGTGGTGTTTATGTGGCCATCGTTTATGAGTACTGTAGGGCCCAGGAAGTGGATCTCTTATGTGGACTGGTCCAGGCTGAGGTTGATGGTGGGGTGGAAATTGTTGAAATCATGATGGAATGCCTCAAGGGCTTCTTTTCCATGGGTCCAGATGATGAAGACGTCATCAATGTAGCATAAGTAGAGTTGGGGCATTAGGGGACGAGAGCTGAGAAAGCGTTGTTCTAAGTCAGCCATAAAAATGTTGGCATACTGTGGGGCCATGAGGGTACCCATAGCAGTGCTGCTGATTTGAAGGTACACATTGTCCCCAAATGTGAAATAGTTATGGATGAGGACAAAGTTACAAAGTTCAGCCACCAGGTTTGCCGTGACATTATCGGGGATACTGTTCCTGATGGCTTGTAGTCCATCTTTGTGTGAAACGTTGATGTAGAGGGCTTCTACTTCCATTTTGGAAGAGATCACTAATAGATTGTAGTTTCCTCAGGAAATCAGTGGAGTCTCAAAGGAGTGCTGATAGCGTAGGGTCTGAGGATGGAGTCTACATAGCCAGACAATCCTGCTGTTAGGGTGCCAATGCCTGAGATGCTGGGGCATCCAGGATTTCCAGGTTTATGGATCTTGGGTACCCCTGCTTGGGGTTCTAGGAATGTGTCTGTGCAGATTTGCTCTTGTGCTTTTTCAGGGAGTTTCTTGAGTAGATGGTGTAGTTTCTTTTGGTAACCCTCAGTGGGATCAGAGGGTACTTACTGTAAGGCAGTTGTAGCTGTCCATCTGGGAGGGAGGCCACAGCCCCTCACTAAAAGTCCTCTGGAAGGGGACAGTTCAGGGGGGAATTAGCACTGGGCTTCCTGCCACTCAGCAGGATAGCATAGTACTATGTCTAGGGACCCTGATCCTCCAACCAGGCAGGGCACCGAACAGTCAGAGGGCTCTAGTCTACAATCAGGGTACAGCAGCACTGTCTATAAGCCTCAGCCCTCAGGAAGGGTGGGGCTGCAAACATTTAGGAGGCTCTGGCCGGTATTCAGAACTGAGCAGTAACAAGTCTATTAGCCCAGGCCCTCAAACAGTGTGGGGCAGCAAACAATCGGGATCCTGGCTGTGGTGGACCACCGACAAACACAGGCCTCTTGGCCTATGGTGAGGAGGCAATCACTCTGAGGCCCCTGGGCTGGGACGTGGTGGAGTTGGGTGGGCCCATGTCCTCTTACCCCTGCCACTCCACCACATCCCAGCCCAGGGCCCTAACAGTGGTGGAGTGGTCCGCCACTGGGTCAGCAGGGAAATCCAGCCACAACATGCTGGCCAGCGGTCAGTCAGCAACACAACCAAACTATATTCGGCTCCCCTGGACTACTTCCTACACTCCTGTCCGGGGATCATCATCTGCTATGCTGGTATACACAGCTAATGGCAGCCCCAGAAATTCCTCAGTGTCTCTGGCCACCAGCCGCTCTGGCAGTCCCTCCAAATCTTGAGTGCTGCAGCGGTTGCTGTAAGGTTCAAGCTACAGCAGCAGGAAGAGACATCCTTCTCCTCCAGTGGCTCCTCTCCAACTGAGCAGCCTTTTATACTTTTTGTTCCTATCCCATCCCTCTGCTTCAGAGGGGGCAGGTGGAGGTTTCCCAGCTCTGCCCACCAGGGGGTGGTTGCAGCTGTCCCATGGTTCATCTGGAAGGGAGGCCATGCTCCCTCGCCACTGTTGTGCTCCAAGATGAGCCTCTGCATATTCACACTCTCCTACCACCTTCCCCACTTCTTTGGAGTCTCAGTTTAGGAATTCTCAAATTAGAGGAAGGAACTGAAGGTAGGGTGGGGCCATTTCCCCTTGACACCATCAGAAACCTCTAGGACGGGAGGAAGAGAGGGGAGCAAGTAACCCTAATGGACGCCGCTATCCTGGTGGCTCATGATGCACATACCTTGATGAGTGTGAATATGAAGAGGCTCACTGCAAAGTACTCCAGTTATTAGTAAGTAACCCTAGTTCCTGAAATGCTGTATTTTAATGCTCAAATTTAAAAACTTGAGTGATGATAAAACAACAGTGCAACTTCTCAGTGTCCCATGCTACATTGCCCAGTGGAGTGCTTGGGCTGCAGGAGGAATGCAACACCAGTCCATGAGGTTCAGCACACTCCTCCACTGCATCAGTCCTACTCACAGGCGGTTGGGGCGGGGGAGCGGGAAATGTCCCAAAGCCTGAAGTTGTGTCTGGTGCTTATAATATAGTGCCAAAGGGAGATGGTTTGTTGAACTCTTTATGCTCACATAAGGGTGAGGCACAATGTGGGCTTTATTTTGTTTTGTGGAGTGGGTGGTTGGGTGTCTGAGTGCAGGGGGCAGAGCTACAGATTAAAGGAAGAGGGAGGAAGTGACATCTTACCAGACATTTCAGTTTCTGTTTGGGAAAAACTGGCAAGATGCTGAGCAAAGCAGATTCTGAATTCAGTAAAGACAAGTGCAAAGTACTAGACTTAGGAAGGAAAAAAAATCAAATGCACAGCTACAAAATGGGGAATAACTGGCCAGGTGGTATTGCTGCTGAAAATGATCTGGGGGTTATAATGGATGACAAATGAAATGAGTCAATAATGTGGTGCAGCTGTGAAAAAAGGCTAATATCAGTTTGGAGTGTATTAGCAGCAGTGTTATATGTAAGACATGGGAAGTGATTGTTCCACTGTACTCGGCACACAGTGCTTTACTGAAGCAAGATAATAATGCTCAGAGTCTTGAAAGACTGAGTTCTTAGTGACTGGCATGACATTCCAAAGAACTCTGAAACTATCAATTTGGGGGTAACAAACTTGTTTTTTAGGAGGAGGATGACACTGCCATGAAATATGGTGTGTTCTTGTTATGGACTGTAGAAGTTATTTTAGGCTGAAGAAAAAGGGAAACCTTTACTGACTGGCAGATTACGCTCTTTTTCTGCATTTTGTGTTTGGTAAATTGGATAAGAAGATCCTATATGGTACATGTGCTTAACAGTAACTGGGAAATTATCTACATGCCTAGATTAAATACCTTATATATTTTTTTCTATTTCAGGAAATCACAGGAAACAGCATGATCCTGAAGCAGGTAAAAAATATTGTAGGCTAATCCAAAATATTAGCATGTATAATATTTTTGTTTGATGATATGGTGTGTATTGTCAAAAAAGGGTAAGCCTAATGACACAGGGCTGCCCAGACTGACACCCCCTGCAATATAACTGGCCACTGTCGGCAGACAGGATATTGGGCTAGATAGACCATTGGTCTCACCCAGTATGGCCATTCTTATGTTCTCAACTGGAGTTATTTATATTGAGGTCAACTGGTTTGCACAGGGAGTAAGTCAGGGGAGAATTTATACATGAACATTGAAATCAATGGGATTATTCATGTTCTTAAATTTTAGCCTGAGTTTAAATACCTTGCTGAAATTGGGCATCCTCAGTCTAAAGACCCTTGAACTTTGGTTGCACAGGGAGTGCAAAAGTATTAAATGTATTTAAACAATACTGGAAAGTACATATAAAAAGCTATGTTAAAAGGAAGTTATTTAGGTTGCAAAGTCAAACAGTTGAAAGTTAGACAGAGCAACTTTAATTCTGTTGACATGTGCATCCATCCTGTACACTGAATGATACAGGTGATCATATAATTATCCCTACCCTCCAGCTAATCTGTCCAGCTAATCTATCACTCCTCCCAGTTTAGTGTCATCTGCAAACTTGCTGAGAGTGCAGTCCATGCCATCCTCCAGATCATTAATGAAGATATTGAACAAAACTTGCCCCTTGGAGCACTCTGCTTGATACCGGCTGCCAACTAGACATAGAGCCATTGATTACTACCCATTGAGCTCAACAATCTAGCCAGCTTTCTATCCACCTTAAAATCCATGCTAGGATTTAAAAGCAGTGGAATTGCTGCTGTTCCACTGCATGGGAAGGAAGGCAAGTTATGTAACGATTAAGGCCCAGATTCACAAAAGTATTTAGGTGCCTAGATCTCATTGATTTCAGTGGGAGTTGGGTACCTAAAACCCTTTTTGAACCAGGGCCTAGATTAACAGATTTAATAATATTAAGGCCAAAAGGGACCATTAGACCATATATAGACCATCTCCTGTATAACACAGGCCATAGAATTTCACCCAGTTACCCCTGTATTGAGTCCAGCAACTTGTGTTTAGCTAAAGCATCTTCCAGATGATCTACATGGCCTCTTCTGTCCTTATGTCCATGAGTCTATGAGAAAGGTTTCCATTCTTCATCTGAAGATGTAAAGGGATGGATAATCCACACTTCTGTTGGGAATTTGGTCGAACAGTTAATCATCCTCATGTTAAGAAATGTGTGCCTTATTTCTAATTTGAATTTTTTTGCCTTTAACTTCCAGCCACAGGTGCATGTTATGCCTTTCTCTGCTAGATTAAAGACCCCTTTGTTGCAGCATGGCCTAGTATATCTCTGTATAGGGTGACCAGATGTCCTGATTTTATAGGGACAGTCCCAATATTTGGGGCTTTTTCTTATATAGGGACCTATTACCCCCCCAGACCTGTCCCAATTTTTCACACTTGCCATGGGGCCAACTCTGTCAGTGCCTGGGACATGGGTGGTCATGCCTAATGGTTGGAGCAGGTGTCAGGCCTAGTGGTTGGAGCTGACATCAGTAGCTAGGAATCTGAGTCAAGGGTCAGAACTGAAGTCAGAAGTCAGGTGACAGAGTCAAGGGTCACAGCTGGAATCAGGAGCTAGGAGTCAGAGCCTTGAGTCAGAACGTGAAGACAGACCTCTTGTCTGGTGCCTTTACTTGGGCTGAGGGATTTCACAATCCAACTGTGCACTCGCAGAGTTCCACCAAGACTGGGCGCTGAGTTAGATATAAAAGGAGACTTAGACTCAGCATTGCAATGTCTCACTTTAAGCACTCTGCTGCCTTGTGCAATCCACAGTCACAAGATAAGTTTTCAAGCTCTTTGTACAGTGCATAGGGAGAGGTGGGTGCCTAAAAGGGGATTCTCAGAAATCAACATGCTATGCTGCCTAAAGCAATCAGTAGGAAATGTTGAGGAAACATGTATGGCCTAAGCTTAACCCTCAAAGGGAACTGGGTACGTAAGTCAGGTCAACTGCAGAAAGGGTCCCTTTTTACTCTATATTTCAGCATTTACCCAAGATGTGTGCGATGTGGGTTCAAATCCCAACTCCACCTGACATGGAGCAGTGATTTGACCCCATGTCTCCTTGCTCACCTGAGCACTTGAGAATTCTGTTATGAGGGGCCTCTTAGTGTCTACTATTAAAGGTTTTCCACTTTGTATGAAGTACTTAGTCATTGGATCAGGGACTGGAAATTGGGTCACCCACTTCCCAGGTCAGTGCCCCAACCACTGGGCTCTAGAGTCTCACTCACTGCTTGCAGACTTTCATATAAAGTCAAACAGGTTGAAGAGGAGAGATTGAGAGAAGAATCCCCCCACCCCCACACACACATAATACCCTACAGCCCAGTGATTAGGTATTTACCTAGGAGGTGGAAGACCTATGATCCCAGATGTCCCACATCTTGGGTAAGTGAGCTAACTACTCCTGTTGGGCCTGATCTGGTAGGCCATCTCTTGGACAACCTCTTAGAATGCCTACCTGCTCTGGCCCCACAGGAAAGATAGTGGGGGATCCCCTAGTTTGAGCATCCAGCTAGGACTTTGGTTTGAACTAGGCAACTGGTCTTAGGCTGCTTTGCACAGGCCTACTGGCCAAAATTTAGGCACCTAGAGGTTTAGGCACAGGCTGTCAAATTATTTGTGTATGTGTGTGTGCGGGAGGAGGGAGGGAGTTGTGCCAGCATATAGAACATTGTATGTGATTATATTATATCCTGGCAAGTCTGTGGAGGGCAAAAAGTGAAAGACAGACTGGGGCATAAAGACCTGCAATGCCTGGGCAGGGGCAAACCATAGTCTTGGGGGGCACAATTGCCCCTTTATGCCATAGCAATTGGTGCCCCTGGTTAGACTAGGGTGACCAGACAGCAAGTGTGAAAAATCAGGACAGGTTGTGGGGGGTAATAGGAGCCTATATAAGAAAAAGACCCAAAAAATCGGGACTGTCCCTATAAAATCGGGACATCTGGTCACCCTAGGTTAGACAGCAGCTGAGTAGAGATTTTGAGGATCCAAACCTTGTACTGAGCTGTCAAAAGGGGCAGTTAGGCAACTAAATTCCTTTGTGGGCCTAGCCTCTGGGCTTGTTTTTCAGCCTCTTTGGGGACAACCTGAGAGCAAAGAAGAACCACAGGTGTAGGCAAAGAGAATTTCTTAACCACAGTTGACTTTACTCTTAAAGACAGCCTTAGAGTTACAGATGTTTCAAAAATAACAAACACCTGAAATTCAATCATCAGAACAGTCCTCAGTACCCTGGGAGTCCTAGGGTTTGGGCAGAGTCCTGAGGGGAGTCCAAGTACTTCCTGCTACCACTCTCTTCAGCTGGGTGTTCTGTTCCTGGCTACAAAAAAAGCCCCTGGGCTTAGAGACCATTCCTCTTTTAAAACAGCTTCTGACACCTTTTTCTGCCACTGCACTTCCACTGGGGAGTTTCCAGGCTCCACCCCTTATAAGCAGAGTAATTTAAAGTGGACTTGCTTTCAGCAGAACCATTGTCCCACTGGGATAAAGCCCTTCAACCCTGATGACTATTGCTTGAAAAAAAGTTGAAAAACAGTTTCAAAGTTGTCACAACATTCTGACATTTTCAAAACAAAATATTCCAGTTGACATGATTTTTTTTTCAGAATATAATCTAAAAATAATAAAAAGGGGGCTAAAAAAAAAGGTCAACATTGAAATGAAACATTTCAATATTATTGAAACAAAATGTTTCAGTTGGCCTGAGCTAAATTTTTGTTTAGTTTTTGACTTTTTGGTTTGTGAATATTATTGAGATTTTGTGTTCTAGTCTTCATTTAAGGTGAGAAAGAGACAAACTCTTGAAAGTATTCCAGGGATGGAAAATCTATTTTCCACCCAACTCTATTCAAAGCTCTGGATTGATACGTGAAGGCTAACTCTTTGAACGTTCTAGCCACATCTTAAACACTTACATAATAACAGCTTCTGATCCACACATAACTCTTGAGTAGGTTCCCTATATAAAGACTGTCTAGTTAGTGACCGAATTTCTAAAGATCATATGACAAGTGTGAAGAGACAGCACAAAAAGTATTTTGCCACTGTGCCTCCTCAGCACTGGAAGCCTCCACTCTTGGGCTACATTCAGTAACTGTCCCTGGGAAATGTCATAGTTTCTGTGCAGCCAACCAGTACAACAAACTGTAAAGGAATATGTGGTGTAGGGGGCCTCTGCAACAGATACAATCTGGTATAGCTGGCTCTAAGCCCTCTTCTGTAGTCCCTAGCACAGGGGTTATGCTGCTCAGGGCAGCTGGGGCCATACTGGGGCATTTGTATGAGCTGGCTAGTGTCAGATGCAACCATAGATAGGGGCTGTTACAGTTCAGGGTGCAAGTTAGAGCAGCCCTCAAGTCTGCTCTAACCTGCATCAGGGACTGGACCATCAGCCCTGCAATAAGTGAGGGCACAGGCTAGTTTAAACACTTTTGTTTTTGCCCGTCTCCACATTGCTGCAGGCTGAAATAATAAAGTTCTTACTTTTCAGGATAATTCAAAGTATTACATTAATTTAAGAGACTGAATTATGTTTGTGAGTGAAGCAGTATTAAAACCTGATTTTGTTTGCGTACAGACTAACATGACAGGGTAATAGTTTAAAATCACACAAGTAGGAGTTAGGCACCCAACTTCCAATGCCTTTTAGTGGGAGTTGGACACCTACCTTTCCTTTGTGCCTTTGAAAATGTCCCTAAGTTTTTATTGTATTTAATTGCCTTTAGCTAATTCGGTCATTTTCATGCTCTGCAGGGCAATTCAAAGTACTACATACATTTAAGAGCCTGAGTTATGTTTGTGAGTGAGGCATAGATTTAAATCCTGATTTTGTTTGTGCACAAACTTAAACATAGTATGGCATAGTAAAGGTGATATTTTAAAAGGCACAAGTAGGAGTT